CCTGGCACGTGGAACCTGGGGCTGCGTAGCCTGTTTCCCCCTGGAGTGGTAGGCCAGAAGCTTGTTCAGCTTTTGTCTGGCTGGATTAACTCTCCCAAGGAAAGCAGACACCAGCTTCACTTTGTGGCCTCTTATCTGCTCCAGCCGTTCCCACCTCCAGCCCTATAGTCCTGGTTCCGATATGTAGGTCCCAGGCACTCAGTAATAACTCCTAAAGGCCTGACCTGGTTTGACCCTCATCCTACCAATAACACTTTATAGTTGTAGGAGCATAGAATTTCAACTGATAGAAGCCTTTGCTTACTCTCTAAATCACTGAGTACTAACAGCGTGACATTCAGTGTTGGGTGTTGGGGCAGAGTCCATATGTTGAACCAGGTAGAACCCATCCCTGCCTCAGAAGGGAGACGTCATTAAATGTGAAGTAGCAGCAGCTGTGATAGATGCCTTACTAGCGTGTAGGAGGAGAGGCCTGAGGGAGTTGCTGTCCAGGCAGGGTAAGCTGTGCAAAGTCAGCTTGGTGCATTCCACGCCCTAGAAGAATCTCAGAGAAGGAAGCTAGATTGATTTGACTATGAAGTTCAGGGAAAGAGGGTCACTAACTAAAACTTATACATAATAAACGTATACCCAAAAACCCATCCCACTGCCATGGAGTCAAAGCAACCCTTTAAGACAGAGTGGAACTGCCCCAGAGGGTTTCCAAGGCTGTCATCTTTACAGATGAAAAGCCCAACCCAAACCCACTGCCCTGGAGTCTATTCTGACTCACAGCGCCCCTAGAGGACAGAGTGGAACTGCACCACAGGGTCTCCAAGGCCGTCATCTTTACCAAAGCAAAGCCCAAACCAAACCCGCTACCACAGAGTAGTTTCCGACTCACAAGCAACCCCTGGAGGACAGAGTGGAACTGCCCCAGAAAGTTTCCAAGGCTGTCGTCTTTACGGATGCCAAGTGCCTCATCTCTCTACCACGGAGGGGCTGATGGGTTTGAACTAAGAACTTTTTGGTTAGACACTGTGCCACCAGAGCTTCAAACCTAATATAAGTGATGCTAAATGCTGCGAAAGAGCCTTACAGGAACAAGAGACCAGA